CAGGCTTTTCATGCAATAATTGCCTTCCTTCCCTGTATTGCCACGTTACAGATGTCAGGAGATGCAGTCCAACAACATCTGGCAGGCCTCAAGTTCCCATGCTGGCCAGCTGGTGGTTAATCTGTATAACTTTTATTGCATCCTGTTGCACTTTGTAGCAACATTTTTGTTTCTGTATGCTATTAAGATCAAACCTTGACATGTCACCTTCTTTTGGACTCCAGCCTCCACAATCCTCCAGCCATCATGCTCAGATTAATCACCCAGGAAATATTTGATTCCAGAATCTGATTGTGTTTCATGCCAGAACTACCAAGAAACAGCAGCTTTATAGCCGTGGTTCAGAATTATGTATCTCTGTCCTAGTTCTAGGAAGACTTCAAAATGAGGGGGATTGAGACACTGAGACAAAATTTAAGTAATAATCTTTATCTAATTCTTTTAGGAATAGGTAAATGGGACATCCTAAGAAAACAAATAAAACTACTAAGCAATATAACAAAACCTACCAAACAGTAAAAGCAAGTAGGGTGACGGCAGCTCAGGCAATACCCACAAATTTAGGCAAGCACACACAGTCTCTGACTCGCTCAGTCAGTCAGCACCATTGAAGTGTGAGTTTGAGAGAGAGAGAGAGAGACAAAAAGAATTAATCCCCTTTTATAGAGCCTCACTGAAAAAAGGGACAGGGTGAGGTCTTTAAGCACATTAACCTACAATGAGTACAATGTTGGATCTTGCCATACCCCAACACAAAAGAGCAGCAAGTTCCCAGAACACCCAAGATAGTCTTGTCAGTGTCATGGCAAGATAAGGCATAGTAGATACACCAAGGTCTTGCCTGGTGAAGCTAGTCCCTCTTTAGGCGAGCCAGAACAGAGTGATAGTTTTTTTTCAGGACCCTGGACAGTTTTCTGTCTGGCTTGCACAGACTTCTATAGATACAGCTGTTGCTGCAGCAAAGACCTTTCAGCACTGAGAACATATGGAGACTGGTCAGCTCAGATGGTCCCATATTCCTTTATTTTGCTTCCTTGCCGCTGAGGGGCCTGGGAAGACTTGGGAGGAACTTCGGTAGAGGTAGAAAGACAACCTCATACATGTCCCCAGTACTGATAGGTCCTTGTGGAATGCACGGAGAGGCAATCCATCTGCTTCAAAGTCTTCTTCGAAGTGATGCTGCCCCTGGTAGCCTGAATCCATAATAGTCTCCTATATCACATGCACAGGTGTGAAAGCTGGACATTGAAGAAAACTGATAGGAAAATATTTTGGTGGAGGAGGAGAGCATATGGATACCCTGGACTGCCAGAAAGATAAACAAGTGGGTCCTAGATCAAATTAAGCTTGAACCATCTCTGGGGGCAAAAATGTTGCATCTGCAGCTGTCCTGCTTTGGGCACATCATGGGAAGGCAGGATTCTCTGGGAAAAACACACAATAAGGTGGGAAAGGAGAAAGGCAGCAGGAAAAGAGGAAGACCAAATATTAGATGGACTGACTCCTTAAAGGAAGCCAGAGGCTTGAATTTACAAGAGGTTAGCAGATCTGCTGAGGACAAAACATTTTGGAGATCACTCATTTGTAGGGTTTCTATCAGTCAGAGGCAGAAACCCCACACCACCCAACAAAACAGACCAATTCAGTCAGTTAAAATGTCTGGGCAAAGAAAAATGTTTTCACTGATGCCAAGAATAATAGCATTTGGGACAGTCCCAGCTCTATGGAGAGATAGAATAAAAATGCAAACTTTTTCAACCTAAGAAGTTCCTTGTTAAACGCTGAGATATCTCAAACAGTTCTACTGTTTCCACATGTAAGAATTAATCTGGCATAATTTTTCATGTTTATATTTCATATGTATACAGTAATAGAACCTCCAAAATCTTTTTGCACTCAGAGATAGCATCTATAACTGATGCCTAGTATAAGAGTAATAGTAGTAGTTATTGTTGTTGTTTCACAAAGTAAAGATGCATGGACCTTAGGAGATCTGTAAAGGATTTCTAACTCAGCGTACTCCAAGTTGGATTTCAGCCGATTCCCTTCCTTTTGCAATAGTCCTCTTAACACCGCCATCCTTTTTAGCTGTGAATATGAACTGGGGCCAGTAGGTGGCTGTTATTTTGCATCTTTCTTTCAATGATTCAAAAGGCATTTTTCAATAAAAACAAACAAATTGCAACTGAAAACCAGGAACACAGTAATAATGTGTGGTAAAGCAGGAACCAGATGTAAGGAAGTATATGAAATGAAAACATCAAAGATTCAATTCTGCAGAACAAGTGAAGGTGTATAACTGGATCTGCAGGAATGTAGGGACTTAGTTGTCTCGGTATAGCATTCGAACTCTGTCAATAGAGCTGAATCCTCAAAGAAGGATTGAGATCCATTTGATTTATTTGCAATGCTTTGCAAACTGTTGTTGAAGAATCAATCGTTGAGAACATTTCTGAACAGATTTGAATCCATAAATGATGAAAAGTTTATTTTTGAACATTTTATCATTTAGCACATCATCAACTACCCCACCTCTGACAACAATTTCATGTGACTGAATGAATAAAAGAGGCTTAGTAAATAATGGACATAGTCCTTCTACAGGCAATTTATATTACAGCACAAGTGAAATTTAGAACATGAGAATTATTGCTGCTGTTCATGTTGAAAATCCATGAATATAGGTAAATGGGACATCCTAAGAAAACAAATAAAACTACTAAGCAATATAACAAAACCTACCAAACAGTAAAAGCAAGTAGGGTGACGGCAGCTCAGGCAATACCCACAAATTTAGGCAAGCACACACAGTCTCTGACTCGCTCAGTCAGTCAGCACCATTGAAGTGTGAGTTTGAGAGAGAGAGAGAGAGACAAAAAGAATTAATCCCCTTTTATAGAGCCTCACTGAGATTATGAGAAAATCTCTGTTTCTCTCCACCCCCTGTGCCCTGAATTTCCCTTGTTGAAAAAAAATCTCAGTAACCTCCTCATGGCGTTCTGTATCTCATTGTTCCTTAGGCTATATATGAAAGGATTAAGCAGTACAATGTTGGATCTTGCCATACCCCAACACAAAAGAGCAGCAAGTTCCCAGAACACCCAAGATAGTCTTGTCAGTGTCATGGCAAGATAAGGCATAGTAGATACACCAAGGTCTTGCCTGGTGAAGCTAGTCCCTCTTTAGGCGAGCCAGAACAGAGTGATAGTTTTTTTTCAGGACCCTGGACAGTTTTCTGTCTGGCTTGCACAGACTTCTATAGATACAGCTGTTGCTGCAGCAAAGACCTTTCAGCACTGAGAACATATGGAGACTGGTCAGCTCAGATGGTCCCATATTCCTTTATTTTGCTTCCTTGCCGCTGAGGGGCCTGGGAAGACTTGGGAGGAACTTCGGTAGAGGTAGAAAGACAACCTCATACATGTCCCCAGTACTGATAGGTCCTTGTGGAATGCACGGAGAGGCAATCCATCTGCTTCAAAGTCTTCTTCGAAGTGATGCTGCCCCTGGTAGCCTGAATCCATAATAGTCTCCTATATCACATGCACAGGTGTGAAAGCTGGACATTGAAGAAAACTGATCTGCAGCTGTCCTGCTTCGGGCACATCATGGGAAGGCAGGATTCTCTGGGAAAAACACACAATAAGGTGGGAAAGGAGAAAGGCAGCAGGAAAAGAGGAAGACCAAATATTAGATGGACTGACTCCTTAAAGGAAGCCAGAGGCTTGAATTTACAAGAGGTTAGCAGATCTGCTGAGGACAAAACATTTTGGAGATCACTCATTTGTAGGGTTTCTATCAGTCAGAGGCGACATGACAGCATATAACAACCACCACCACCACCACCACCAGTGTTTCAGAGCGGTTTTCTCTTCATTTTCTAGAGCTGCAGTTTCTTCACCATAGGATTCTTGTTCAAAGGAGTCTGTCCTCTTTTTTTAACATATGATATTAAAAAATAATATAAAAGCCAGTTCATTAAAATCTTATTTAAAAGAAAGCAGCATCAATGCAGTGATAATCCCTACCACAATAGGAAGCTTAACATGGCTTCCTGAATAAAAATGAATAAAAATGCAAACTTTTTCAAGCTAAGAAGTTCCTTGTTAAGCACTGAGATATCTCAAACAGTTCTACTGTTTCCACATGTAAGAATTAATCTGGCATAATTTTTCATGTTTATATTTCATATTTATACAGTAATAGAATCTCCAAAATCTTTTTGCACTCAGAGATAGCATCTATAACTGATGCCTAGTATAAGAGTAATAGTAGTAGGTATTGTTGTTGTTTCACAAAGTAAAGATGCATGGACCTTAGGAGATCTGTAAAGGATTTCTAACTCAGCGTACTCCAAGTTGGATTTCAGCCGATTCCCTTCCTTTTGCAATAGTCCTCTTAACACCGCCATCCTTTTTAGCTGTGAATATGAACTGGGGCCAGTAGGTGGCTGTTATTTTGCATCTTTCTTTCAATGATTCAAAAGGCATTTTTCAATAAAAACAAACAAATTGCAACTGAAAACCAGGAACACAGTAATAATGTGTGGTAAAGCAGGAACCAGATGTAATGAAGTATATGAAATGAAAACATCAAAGATTCAATTCTGCAGAACGAGTGAAGGTGTATAACTGGATCTGCAGGAATGTAGGGACTTAGTTGTCTCGGTATAGCATTCGAACTCTGTCAATAGAGCTGAATCCTCAAAGAAGGATTGAGATCCATTTGATTTATTTACAATGATTTTAATTTTATTCTATGTTATTCCAACATTGTCTGGTAACTGCTGCCATTTATACAATACATCCCATCGTTCAGTTTCTTTTTGAATTGAACAGTCTTTCAGCCCATCTGACAGAATATCCATTTTTTTCACTTCCCATATGAAACATTTCTCCACTGGATAAATATCCAGGTATCACCATGAGGAGACTGGGGGAGAATTTTGAGTATTGAAAAATTCTTCATACATCCTTTATTCAAAACTGGCTCAGGGCTGATTATGAGAAAATCTCTGTTTCTCTCCACCCCCTGTGCCCTGAATTTCCCTTGTTGAAAAAAAATCTCAGTAACCTCCTCATGGCGTTCTGTATCTCATTGTTCCTTAGGCTATATATGAAAGGATTAAGCATGGGGGTGACAACAGTGTAGATGATCGAGGCCACTCTCAACCTGGAGCCAGAGTTGGTGGATGAGGGACAGATGTAGGTGCCTATCAGAGATCCATAGAACAAGGAGACAGTGGTGAGGTGGGCACTGCAGGTGGAGAAGGCCTTGTACTTTCCTGAGGCTGATGGGACCCTCAAAATCTTGCTGATGATGAAGATGTAGGAGAAGAGGATGAGCACTAGGGGTCCAAGAAGAGCAGTGGTACCCTCACTGACAAGCATTATTTCAACAGAGGAGGTATCTGAGCAAGAGAGCTTGAGTAAAGGGTCGAGGTCGCAAAAGAAATGTGTTACTTCCCGGGAAGCACAAAAAGAAAACTCTGAAAGCAAAAGAACATATAGCAGAGAATGGATATATGCCAGGAGCCAAGATCCGGAGGCCAACAGCAGGCAACATCTGTAACTCATTATTGTGGTGTAATGTAGCGGGCGGCAGATGGCTACATAGCGGTCATATGCCATTGAGGCCAAGATGAAGTTGTCCATGAGGAAAATATTTTGGTGGAGGAGGAGAGCATATGGATACCCTGGACTGCCAGAAAGATAAACAAGTGGGTCCTAGATCAAATTAAGCTTGAACCATCTCTGGGGGCAAAAATGTTGCATCTGCAGCTGTCCTGCTTTGGGCACATCATGGGAAGGCAGGATTCTCTGGGAAAAACACACAATAAGGTGGGAAAGGAGAAAGGCAGCAGGAAAAGAGGAAGACCAAATATTAGATGGACTGACTCCTTAAAGGAAGCCAGAGGCTTGAATTTACAAGAGGTTAGCAGATCTGCTGAGGACAAAACATTTTGGAGATCACTCATTTGTAGGGTTTCTATCAGTCAGAGGCGACATGACAGCATATAACAACCACCACCACCACCACCACCAGTGTTTCAGAGCGGTTTTCTCTTCATTTTCTAGAGCTGCAGTTTCTTCACCATAGGATTCTTGTTCAAAGGAGTCTGTCCTCTTTTTTTAACATATGATATTAAAAAATAATATAAAAGCCAGTTCATTAAAATCTTATTTAAAAGAAAGCAGCATCAATGCAGTGATAATCCCTACCACAATAGGAAGCTTAACATGGCTTCCTGAATAAAAATGAATAAAAATGCAAACTTTTTCAAGCTAAGAAGTTCCTTGTTAAGCACTGAGATATCTCAAACAGTTCTACTGTTTCCACATGTAAGAATTAATCTGGCATAATTTTTCATGTTTATATTTCATATTTATACAGTAATAGAATCTCCAAAATCTTTTTGCACTCAGAGATAGCATCTATAACTGATGCCTAGTATAAGAGTAATAGTAGTAGGTATTGTTGTTGTTTCACAAAGTAAAGATGCATGGACCTTAGGAGATCTGTAAAGGATTTCTAACTCAGCGTACTCCAAGTTGGATTTCAGCCGATTCCCTTCCTTTTGCAATAGTCCTCTTAACACCGCCATCCTTTTTAGCTGTGAATATGAACTGGGGCCAGTAGGTGGCTGTTATTTTGCATCTTTCTTTCAATGATTCAAAAGGCATTTTTCAATAAAAACAAACAAATTGCAACTGAAAACCAGGAACACAGTAATAATGTGTGGTAAAGCAGGAACCAGATGTAATGAAGTATATGAAATGAAAACATCAAAGATTCAATTCTGCAGAACGAGTGAAGGTGTATAACTGGATCTGCAGGAATGTAGGGACTTAGTTGTCTCGGTATAGCATTCGAACTCTGTCAATAGAGCTGAATCCTCAAAGAAGGATTGAGATCCATTTGATTTATTTACAATGCTTTGCAAACTGGTGTTGAAGAATCAATCGTTGAGAACATTTCTGAACAGATTTGAATCCATAAATGATGAAAAGTTTATTTTTGAACATTTTATCATTTAGCACATCATCAACTACCCCACCTCTGACAACAATTTCATGTGACTGAATGAATAAAAGAGGCTTAGTAAATAATGGACATAGTCCTTCTACAGGCAATTTATATTACAGCACAAGTGAAATTTAGAACATGAGAATTATTGCTGCTGTTCATGTTGAAAATCCATGAATATTTAAGTTTGAAACATTTCTCCACTGGATAAATATCCAGGTATCACCATGAGGAGACTGGGGGAGAATTTTGAGTATTCAAAAATTCTTCATCCTTTATTCAAAACTGGCTCAGGGCTGATTATGAGAAAATCTCTGTTTCTCTCCGCCCCCTGTGCCCTGAATTTCCCTTGTTGAAAAAAAATCTCAGTAACCTCCTCATGGCGTTCTGTATCTCATTGTTCCTTAGGCTATATATGAAAGGATTAAGCATGGGGGTGACAACAGTGTAGATGATCGAGGCCACTCTCAACCTGGAGCCAGAGTTGGTGGATGAGGGACAGATGTAGGTGCCTATCAGAGATCCATAGAACAAGGAGACAGTGGTGAGGTGGGCACTGCAGGTGGAGAAGGCCTTGTATTTTCCTGAGGTTGATGGGACCCTCAAAATCTTACTGATGATGAAGATGTAGGAGAAGAGGATGAGCACTAGGGGTCCAAGAAGAGCAGTGGTACCCTCACTGACAAGCATTATTTCAACAGAGGAGGTATCTGAGCAAGAGAGCTTGAGTAAAGGGTCGAGGTCGCAAAAGAAATGTGTTACTTCCCGGGAAGCACAAAAAGAAAACTCTGAAAGCAAAAGAACATATAGCAGAGAATGGATATATGCCAGGAGCCAAGATCCGGAGGCCAACAGCAGGCAACATCTGTAACTCATTATTGTGGTGTAATGTAGCGGGCGGCAGATGGCTACATAGCGGTCATATGCCATTGAGGCCAAGATGAAGTTGTCCATGGTGCAAAAGGCCACAAAGAAATACATCTGTGTCAGACACCCACTGTAGGAAATGGTGTTGGTCTGAGACACCAAGATCTGGAGCATCTTGGGCACTGTAGTGGAGCTGAGTCCCATGTCTGCTAACGATAGGTGGCCAAGGAAGAAATACATAGGGGCATAGAACAGGCTGCTGTTGAAGATGACCAGCAAAATGATCAGCATGTTCCCCAGCATGGTAAGTAGGTACATTGGGAGGAAGACGGGGAAAAGAAATCCTTGGAATTCTGAAGAGGAGGAGAAACCCAGGAGGACAAATCCAGCAAAGTGGGTTTGGTTATCTTGAATTTTCCTTTCCATGGCTCAGAGTTAAATGAGCATCGAGTGGGTGCAAATCATCCCTGTTCACAGCTTAGTCCTGCCGTCCATCTACGTACAAAGGTAATACTTTAGCTTGAAAAGAGGCAGGGGAGAGAACATTGGAAAAAGACAGATTTTTGCCAAGAGCAATCTCAGTTCCTACCAGCATCCAAATACCTTACTAAAAATCATTAAAAACATCATAATCTTGGAAAGGATCAGGGGATGAACAGAGATGTCCATCTTCAGAGGAAGGGGAGATGACCTGTAAGAGAGAAGATTCACGTTGGACACTTGGTATACAGTACCTCCTACTCCAAATGTCACTAAAAATGGGGTCAAAGACAGGGTTTGAAACCATTAGAAACCGGTTTTGACCTACAGCTCCCAGAATCCCTTTGCTCTGATGCTGTTTGAAGGATTTTGGAAGTCATGCTCCTAAAATGCAGCATTTTCAAGCTCAGTTGAGGAGGAGGATTTCCTAGTTTTGGTGAGACGTATGTGTTTTCCTGCCAACTTTACTCTGGAATCCTCATCTTTAAAAATCTACACTGGAATTCTGATAGATGATAGTAAATTGGGACATACTCCTAAATAAATGCCAGTTCAAAAGCACCACTTCAAAGCTGCTTTCTCGTTGGTGGGGAGAATAATAGATGTCCCCTCCCATTGCTATAACTACTGCCTAAGATATAAAAAAGCAGCTTGGAGAGTAGAAATCGGAAAATCTCTCAATTGCTTTTCTTCCACATTTGATCTTGTGTTGTTGCTTTTAGTCTCTGATGGTTTTCATCCAAAATATGAAATTTTTGAATTAACTGAAATGAATATTTTTTATTTGCACTAGCCAAATTCCATATGCACAGCTGCCCCCACCATGGAAAGGACAATGTTTTACTTTTCTGCCATATAGGTGGTAAACCTGAGGTGTCTCTCAGAAAAGAAGAAGCAATCACGCTAATTCAGCACTCACATGGTTGACTACTCAGGGATTCTGAGACTGTGAAGAGTTAAGTCTGCAAAAGCAAGGCTGGATGGATCAATCTATCAAATTCAGTTTCTCCACACCTAAACATTCTTTCTATCCAACATGAGAAGGAACTCGCAAATATTGGTAAGTCCTTCTCAGAAATGACCTGAGATGAAATTCCCACGTCTACTGGAGAGGGCAATTTTGAGCCTTAAATACGTCTGAAGGGAGGAAACAGTTACATACCCTTTCCACAGCAGTTCTTCCTTCATTTGGAGGAATCCAACTGAGGTCACTCGGGATCCAATGTACAAAACCCTGAGCAATAAACAGATTTTGGGACACTGTGAATAAGAACAATGAAGAACAATATGCTAAGCAAAAATGTTGTCCTTGATTCCAAGAATTCAGCTGAGAACCATCCTGTACCTATACTAGAACTAAAAGGCATCGGTATCAATAATGAGAAGCAATTTCTTTGCGTGAAAGATAATGCCATCGATACTTATCTGGTCTTAAGAACAAAGACACTTTGTTTTGGAAAGTGCTGAAGCAAGTATAATATTTAGGTGGCAACAGGGGACGAGAGCTTGTCTTGATGAGGTGAGGAAATGTTCAGTGATCTGGGTGGAGTTTCTCCAAGGAGATGGTAGTTCTTTAGGGAACTTGTTAATCAAAAATGGATGCTGTTCTGGAGAACTGGGCCCTTGAAGACACCAGAACAATTGTTTATCCAGCCAGAGATTTTCCCAGCTCCACATTTTCTTGAGATGGTAGAGAAAGTAATTAGACAAAGGAGCATCATTTCCATAAATCATGAAATTCAAATGAAATAAGTCCACCATAAAACAGAAAAGAAAATTCTGAATTGGGGTGCATTTTCCAATTTTCCCATTACAATTTTGCATTTGAATTCAGATGGACATTCTGAGTAGAAAACACTTATCCCAAGACTTTGAAATACCATCTGACAACACAGGACAGTTATATTGCCAAAAAGAAAATATCCATATAAGAATAATAGAATGCCAAATAACAGGTATCAAATAATGTTTTTATTTTATTTATTTGATTCAATTTTTTAACCCCATTCATCTAGCAGCCAGGCCACTGACATTAAACAACAACAACAACAACAAAAAGCAAACAAAAGCGTAACTTAAATCTATAATAAGGTTTGTGCGGACTTTTCCCCAGAGCATTAATTCTGTGTCTGAGCCCAAGAGGAAGCAGACATTCAGGACATGAGAAAGACCCACAGCACAGGCTGTGAGGCTGCTGGAGTCAAATACAGACCCCAGAGTTGAGCTGGTAAGCACTTGAGTGAACCAGTCTCAGACTGTAACCTTAGCTTATGACACCCTTTGGGCTACATTCCTTTGAGGGACTTTTGGGGCCAAGTCATCACCAATGTATGCTGACCCTATAAATAATTGACTTCCCAAATGTCCTGTTATCAACTGACCTGCTTAGCTCTTCCAAGCTCAAAGTCCTGGCTTCCCTAATTGAGTCATTCCATCTCATATCTGGTATTCTTCATTTCCTGCCTTCGACCTTTATTATCAACTAACCTGCTTAGCTCTTCCAAGCTCAAGGTCCTGGTTCCTTAACTGAGTCATTCCATCTCATATCCGGTATTCTTCATTTCCTGCCTTCGACCTTTCCTAGCATTATTGTCTCTTCCAGCGATTTTTGACTTCTCATGAGGTGCCCAACATAACTTTTTAGTTTTGTCAATTTTTTCTTTCTGTGGAACTGCCTCCTTCCACCACACTCCCCCAAATGCTTCTTTTAGCAGTGTATGTTCAGCAGTGCAGGCAACCTAGACTAGAAAATACGTCTAGCATGTGTTGTCATGTCTGATGGTGTAAGATGTCTGTTTAGCCTGTTATGGGACTGTCTTTTCTGGTGTGTTTTGTATTTCATTAGCAAGCTTTCTTTTGTCTTTGGTCAGTGGAAGGTGAACACAAGCTTATTTTGCAAGTTTGCTGAAGGACTTACTTCTGGGGAAAAAAACCCATTTTAAGAGAAGGGGATGCTTTAATTGCAGGGAATGCCCATTCGGCTTTAATGCCTAGCTTGACCTTCTGAAGAAACAGACAGAGAGGAAATGGAGTGTTAAAATTCAGGGTAGAAGACTAACCCCTTTGGGGCCCTCCATTTTTTAGACAGATGCTAGAGTTCCAAGCAGACATAGTCAAGAAGCACAGGTTACCTTTCTGACCCTGCACCCTCCATATGTTTTGGATTACAATACCCATCAGCCCCAACTAGAATGACAAGTTAGAGATTACTAGAATTTTAGTGGAAAACATCTGAACAGTGCCTAGTTGGGGAGAAAACTCAGCTGAGCGCCAGACCTGGCTGGAATAGATGTGCATGTGGAGCTATCCAAGGTCCTGAACCTTTATCTTGTTACCTGCTGCTTACACTCAGGGCAAGCCATTTATGTTAGATGAACTGGGAGAGAGAATCCAACCAACAGCTACCAGGGGTGGAATTTGAACCCTACACTCCTGACTTGTGTTTGCAGGCTGCATTTTGGAGTTCACTTTTAACAAACAGATCTGTGTGTGTGTGTTTAGTCGTTTAGTCATGTCCGACTCTTCGTGACCCCATGGACCAGAGCACGCCAGGCCCTCCTGTCTTCTACTGTCTCAAACAGATCTAGCACAGACATTAGTCATGACTTTTTTCCCCCACTACTATCCAACATATATTGGTACAGAACCTGATGAAGACTTGTATAGGTTGAAAGCTAGCATCTTTTTAAAAAGTATTCTAATAAAGGTATCATCTGCCATTGTATCTAGCAAATATTTCAGTATCCAGATAACACCTGGGAGATATTCAACCTCTAAATTTCCACTGGAAAACTTTGAGGAGAGCCTTTCGGAACAAATTAATTTTAAATACCATGTAAACAGACAATACAATGAAGGTATACACACAAGAAATACAGACACTCCTCACTTAACCAAGTTCCATTCTTACAACTAGGTCATTAAGCGAACTGGTCGATAAGCGAGGAGCAATAATAGTGTATAAAGGGGTAATAAATCATGTGCCATTGAGAAGGGCATGGCAAAGATGAAAACACAGATTTAAAAGGGTCATAAAAGGTCATAAATCCATTATTAAACAGGTAGGTTGTTAAATGAAGAATGCCTGTAGTTACTTTTTAACACTTATGTTTCTTAAGTGGTATTGACCAAATCCAAAGCCTTGCTCCCAGTGCTATAGGCTAAGATATTCAGGAGCATAGTTTATAGATTCTAATTAAGAAGGTAAGGCCTTCATTCTGTCGCATACACTGAAATCTCTGTATGAGATAGAACAAGGGCCTCACCATCTTAATAGGAATCAGCCATGTAACTAATGTCACCAAGTTATAGGGGGGAAAAACTATTCTAGGAAAGCTGAGTTGGGGCAAGATATACATTTCAAAAATAAATAAATTTGTCTCTGCATGTGGATAGCGGTTTTAATCACAAAATGCCTTAAAGTGTACCCTTACTGTGCAGATCCACCCACAATAGAAGTTTGATATCGGCTTAATTGCCATGTCTCCGCCTTCTGGAATCCTGAATTTGTAATTTGTTGAGATACTTTAACATTCTCTGCTTGAAAATGCTAATGCCGTAGTTCAGAGAAGAGCACCAGACATCTCACCAGACCACAAATCCAGGATGCTGTAAGAGAGAACCATGGCAATTAAAATGATATGAAACCACAGAGTGGAGATATGTCTACAAAAATGTTGAAGCCATATAAAATGGCTTTGGGGAAAATGTTTCATATGGCTTCAAAATTTCCAGACATTTTACATCTCTACACCCACCCCCATAACAGTACTCCTTGCAGTATTCCAAGTCTGCTTTCTGCAAACCTTCTAAAAAGTCTTCAAGGTTCTCTCTTCCAGGTCTCATTGAAGAGCGGTGAAGAGTGGCATATATTCTTGTGGCTTGGGCTAGTTGTAAAGCAATCAGCTACTAAGCTATTGAAAAGGGACAACAGCTAAAATCTTGTTGCTTAGCACAGTAAATCTCATTAGAGTAGGCCCACTGAATCATTAGGAATTAGGTGAGTCAACTTCTGTATCAGTTTGATTGATCCAAATGGGCCTGATCTAACCATGACTTATTATAGCATGGCAACTTGCAACTACAGTAGACCCATTTGAATCAATGGGATTTACAGAGAAGATGATTTGCTACATCCCCATTGATTCAATGGACCTGCTCTAATGCAATTTACTTCACTAAGCAACATTATTTCTAAGCACATCTCCAGTGGGAACAGGGATGGACAGCAACACCTTGGATCATGGGGTGCTGCCAGAGCAGCGTTGCATTATGATATTATAAGTAAAGTGGTACTGATTACAAAATGAATAAAAGATAACTATTTCTTTTAGATTGATATGTAATCAACATCAAGACATTTTCCATATGCCTGACTAGGCATTTGATAGACTTCCTTTACCAAAAAAGAAAGAGAGAGAGAGAGAGAGAGAGAGAGAGAGAGAGAAGGGGGGGAAAAACTTGTCCCAAATTCTGGATGTTTTTGAGAAATACTGATGTTGCTGTCTTGGTCTGGCTTCAAAATGAAATTGTTCTGCTTTCATCTTCAAGGACAAAAACAATATGTGGAGGTTTTCTACAAAGATGACCACTAACAGTGGCAGGGGGAAATGATGGAGATGAGGAAGAAATAAAATGATCTTAAACATTATGAGGGTGTATAGGGTGTGTGAGAGAGGATATTACATTTTTATTAAAACAGATAAAAGAATGCTATCAGGACAGCAGCTTTCTATTGCCTGCTGAGTCCAGTAATGAGGATTCAGGGCTTGGTAAACGATAGTGTCAGAATAAACCTATACATACACAGCGAGAGTGGCAAAGCAGTTTCGTCTTCCTGCAGAACTTAATTTTAGGAGACATTTAGTTAAAAAACAGCTACTATTTTTTTTATATAAAACCACTTTGGTTTCTTGTTTCAAAGGAACCAAGATCCCACCATAGCTTGCATTTCCCTGTAGCTGTGCATCGAAATTAATAAAGAATACTAAGTGAAAATATATGATCATCTGTTAGAAAGAGGGTTAGTAACATAATGAGGTGACCTCTCATTATCTAAATGTGATATGGTATACCACTGACAAGAGGAAAGGAAGTGAAAAGGATCTCCTCCCCAAGAGTCTCCATGAACTTCACCGACTCCATGAAATCCCAGGCTTTCTTGGGACAGGGAGGTCGAGGACCTCCAAAGACCGGGTGTATTGGTCTCCAGTACCAGTCCACCCGGACAAGGGCTCAGTTCCTTAAACTTAATGGTGGGATCCCCCCCTTTCAGGTACATACACATCTAATGTGAGAAGGACTGAGTGGTGGGCACTATTTCAGAAGCATGTGACACTGAAATCACCCTTGCCCATCCAGTTTCATTTGTCCCACCAATTGCTGGAACTAGGAGTGGTGACAAGCTCGCAGTCCCTGTTGGAAACAGGCAATCAAAACCTGGGGCTCCTCAAACTGTCCTCCAGAGACATCCCTCCAGAAAAAGGACATGGCAGAGGCAGAGGTGTATATGCAAGAGCCCTGTAGGCCTTGTCTTACTGGGCTGAGAAGGAATCAGTTTGGGGAGATCTAACCAGTTTGGGGATATAAAATGTAGAACATGAAAAAGTGGATTTTTAAAAAGGTATTGAAAGGTTAACAGAAACAACATGTTTTCATATTTATGTTATATTTACTCCTGTGTAGTTTGTTTTAATTGTCTGTAAACCACCCAGAATAGTGCTTTGGCACTAATGGAGTGGTATATAAATCAAAGTAATAAATAAATGATAAATAAACAAAACTTTATGCAATGGAATGATATGACCCGCAAAGCTGTTGAAAGAATAATAGAGTGCATCTCTCACTCCGCACTCAACATATCCTTGCCAAGTAATTATGTTTATTACTTACAAGAGACAAGTAGGTCTGCAAAAGATGTTGTCAAGAGGAATGCCATTCAGATTTCCAACCAGCTGGTCAGTCATGCTTGAATAAACAAAACTTTATGCAATGGAATGATATGACCCGCAAAGCTGTTGAAAGAATAATAGAGTGCATCTCTCACTCCGCACTCAACATATCCTTGCCAAGTAATTATGTTTATTACTTACAAGAGACAAGTAGGTCTGCAAAAGATGTTGTCAAGAGGAATGCCATTCAGATTTCCAACCAGCTGGTCAGTCATGCTCTGTTCCAACACATTCCATTCCACTTTGTGCTTTTTTCTCAATTTTCAGAACAATCCTCTAATTCTGGGGTTTGTCTATGCTGATTTTTCCCCTAATGCCTTTCTTTAAGGGTACCCCCTCCCCAACCCCCTTCTTGCTGGTGCCTCCCTTTTATGTATAGATGATGCTGCTTTACCTACCTATGCATCAGTATTCAGAGACTGAATATGATATGTGATATCAAGAGATATACAGTGGCCAGAATCCTCTTTGTCTTTGAGAAGGGGACGACAGAGGATGAGATGGTTGGACAGTGTCATCGAAGCTACAAACATGAATTTGACCAAACTCTGGGAGGCAGTGGAAGACAGGAGGGCCTGGCGTGCTCTGGTGCATGGGGTCACAAAGAGTTGGAGGCAACTAAATAACAACTAAACAACAACAGTATAAAGTCACATTGTCATAAATGGGCTGGGCATTATTCCCACATAACAAAGATTGCACATGGTTCCCATCAGGACCAATTGTGTGATGCATCTGTCAAAGTGCTTTATGACTAGTACTTCCTTCTTAACATGATTAGAGCTACCACCTGCATAATGTTAAGTTACACAAGTATAGTTACTCAGCAGGATTTCAGGCAATGACCCTTTATTGCCAGTGAAGAACAAATTTTACCAGGATTTTCTGTCCACAAAACCCCACTTCTTAAGAAATTGGCATTTTTTCAAAAAGTGTATTAAAAAGCTTGCATAAATCCTTTGTAACCCTTTCAAAAACTTCAAAGCAACCGTGTATGATGCATTTTTTATAAACTCCTTCAATTTGGTAGATTATAACTAAACAGAAAGCTTTCAACACAGCATTGTCAGGCAAGTGAAAAATCCCTCTTTTTAACAACTTCCACTGCTTGCCTACCTCAAAAATCAGCTTCCTTCAAAAACCACTGTTTTCAAAATCTAAAGAAAACCCTAGATTATCAGCTGCTAGATTTCTGTGTGGGCTTTTGATTTGTTTATAAATAGAGTAGGATTAAGTTGAAATCTTCTGCCCAAAGGATCTCTTACTGCCCAAACTCTGCCATCAGCAGAAGGTGAAAATAAAAAAAAAATAAACAAACAAAAATAGCCCATCTCATGGTGGAAAACCAAACCAGAAACTAAAATAAAATTCACCACAATTTTTCAGATTGGTCGCAGTTTAAACCTTGCATTGTCTGGACAATGAAAAAAAATATATAGGTATCATCAATGCACATAAATGCAACAGATGCTCCATTTGGATCACAAATATTTCCTTCCTTTTCATGGACATTGTTTGAAGTGTTTGAAATTGGCTCAGGTCTTAAGTTGTGATACTCTTTGTTCTCCTACACCTGTTCTCCTTTGAAGCCAAGTCCTCAGTAACCTCCTCATGGCGTCCTGTATCCCACTATTCCTTAGGCTATATATGAAAGGATTAAGCATGGGGGTGACAACAGTGTAGATGATCGAGGCCACTCTCAACCTGGAGCCAGAGTTGGTGGATGAGGGACAGATGTAGGTGCCTATCAGAGATCCATAGAACAAGGAGACAGTGGTGAGGTGGGCACTGCAGGTGGAGAAGGCCTTGTACTTTCCTGAGGCTGATGGGACCTTCAGAATTGTGCTGACGATGAAGATGTAGGAGAGGAGGATGAGGATGAGGGGTCCAAGCATGGTTGCAGTGCCTTCAAACATGAGTATTTTTTCGGCCAAGGAGGTATCAGAGCAGGAGAGTTGGAGTAAAGGATGGAGGTCACAGAAAAAATGAGAGATCTCATGAGACCCACAGAAGTCGAGATGAGACATTGTAAAAACGTACAACAGGCCCTGGCAGAAAGACAGAAGCCATGATCCTGCTGCCAAAAGCAGGCAACACTTATAGCTCATTATTGTGGCATAATGTAATGGGCAACAAATGGCCACATAGCGGTCATAGGCCATTGAGGCCAAGATGAAGTTGTCCATGGTGCAAAAGACCACAAAAAAGTACATCTGTGTCAAGCAGCCACTGTAGGAGATGGTATTTCTCTGGGACAGCAAGATCTGGAGCATCTTGGGCACAGCATTAGAGCTGAATCCCAAGTCAGCCAAAGAGAGATGGCTGAGGAAGAAGTACATGGGAGCGTAGAAGAGGCTGCTGTTAGAGAAGATCAATGAGATGATCAGGAGGTTTCCCAGAAGACTACCGAGATACATGAAGAGGAAAAGGGGAAAGAGTAGTCCCTGGAACTCTGGTGACGAGGAGAGGCCCAGGAGGACGAAGCCTGCAAAGTGGGTTAGGTTCTCCAGGTTTTCTTTTTCCATGGTTCGGCTGCGGATGCAAATATGAAGGGAACAGAATCGTATTCTTAGTTGTGCACTTCATGCAGCATGGCAATAAATCTCATTCAAAAGATGACAGGTCAGAAGGAGCAAGAGGGAGGAGATAACCAGCACAGGAAAATCAACCGTCGGTTATGCCACAGAAGGAAATAGCCTTCTATTAAGTGCTTATTGGTTATGTGCTGGTCCTCTTTAAACATTTACAATACTTAGCCTGTGCAAACAATGGACTACTGTCCTTTTTATTATTGTATTTCTGGATCTTTATACCATTACATAGAGAACGGAGGTTCAGCCATGGTCTCCATCATATCTAACCATTTTTAAATAACGAAGTTAAATCGTTTGTTCAAACCCTTCCCAAATTGATTGACCAGGAAGATCTAGCTTGTTGCCAAACACACACACACACACACACACACACACAGAGAGAGAGAGAGAGAGAGAGAATTTTGTTTCTCAGTTTGCAAGTAACCTGGGACAGCAGACAAGCAAAACGAAAGAAATCATAACTATGATGAATATTATTGTTCATATAAATTAGTATTTATTACAATTTTTTATTTATGATTATTCTTCATATAAATTTTATGAGCCCAATCTGTTGATTTTGGTATTGTATTTAGAGATGTCTCAGGCTACTTGCACATTATGAGAGAAATCATAGACTCAATGGCAATTTAACAAATGAGGAGGAGGGCAGATGGCCTGAAATGAGCAGATAATATCTTTTTATATAACATATTAAGAATGCAGGAGAGAAAAAATTAGAAAAACAAATTAATTCTGGAAATATACATCTTGCTCACCTTTCTACCGCACTCAATTTTTACTAAGGTTGAAAAAAAGAGAGAAGCAATATGGAAAAGGGTACCAAAAAGGCTTTATGAAAATAGAGATTTCTGTAAAAATCAGGCCGAATGCAAATGCATTGGATGCTCTTTTGTCAAACTGTCTCATTATAAATCCTCAAGTAAGACAAAGGGTGTGACTGGAAATATGAGAAAATTTGAAAATTCTATTGGAAGAATTCATATCTAAAATCCATTCATGTTTGATTGGATATGCAAACAGGTTAGACGGGTTGAAAATAATTATGTGATGATGATACTAAGATACCAGGAGAACCAAATATATGCATATATGTATTATGTAAAAGGACAAAACTATGGACGAAAGCCAAAAAGTATCTCAAAAATCGTCAGGGTAAATTCTTTAAAATTATCACACTGATGGTTTATCATGTCAGTGCAAAGATGACAAGTATATATAATTCAACATGGTGGAGAAAATGCTGGTCAACGTAGGTATGTGTCTACATGTAAGACATGCTCCATTGTTTTCCTGTTTTAAAACACTTCATTCATAAAAATGAGCAATATTCAGGTTTAAATTTTGTATGCCACCTGACTAGCAGTGGTGCTTTTAATTATCTGAATTATTCTTACAATTTAATTTTTAATATTTGGTGATGTGGCAAACAGCCATGACAGAATAATTAGTACACCAATTTTAATTAACCAGTGACAAAGCTAAAATACCTAATTATTATGCAGTATGGTATAGCCGTATACGTATATGGGACACATACAAATATGGGACACACACAATATTTATCAAAAAAAATTGTTTTTATCAAACAACTGAGCACATTTAATGAACAATTAAAGTATGAGAGAAGTACTAATAAACACTTGATTAAATGTGCATATATTTATTTTATTCTTTATTTCTCACCCTTCTGTTTAATTGTTCATAACAAGTTCTCAATTTTCCCAGAAATGAATCATTATCATTATTATATAAACAACTAAATGGAAAATCTTTAATCAGTCAATAAACTATATTTATGTTATTATCTGCAGAGTAGAAGGGAAAAGATACATTGTGTGCATTACCTTCTCTCAGTAATCACATAAGCATGATGTAATTTCTTCTCTTTTGTCTTGTTGTTTTCCTTTTAATTTAATTTTTTTAAATTCTTGTATGTATCTTTAATTTTAGAATGGGGGGAAAGCCATTCTGACAGCCTGAAAAACACAGCTCTTAAGACATTTATTTAGAGGTTCATCAGGTGGATAGTACAATATCTCCAAGAAGAATATTATCCATATTCTGCTTATTACAGCTTTATAAAAAAACCATTGCTCTTTAAAATAAGTTTCTCTGAAACAAGGTTCCTTGCGTAGTGTGATCATTTTAAATCTGCATCACTTTAGTCTTGCAGAACCAAACCGCCACCTTGATCACACCTATGAGACCTACCTATGAGGTTCAGACTCACCTTGAGTCCTTACTGTGTGGTCTAGGTTGTTTTTTTGGGACACAGTCTGGTAGGTAAAATGAAGCATAGCAGCAAGACATAAATATCAGGTGCTTTCCCACGGGGAGGCAGAACAATTGGGCAGGGTGTTGTGCAGCTCACTTGAGAAGAGGAGAAAGTATAGAAGATGACCTTCAATTTCAAGGTGAAGTAAAGGATAAAATACAAAGCACACATTTCAGCAGGGAAATGAGAGAGATAACAGAGAACAGTGCATGAGGTAACAATGCAGCTGGTTGCCTGATTTTGAAGAGCACGTTCCTTCCCTGCTGCCAGTCATGCAAAAGGAGCCCATCTCTGTTTGCAAAGTTCAAAGGGAAAGAGCGTCTTTCACAGACTAATGTAATTTCACTGAAGTGAAGGCATCCATGCAGTTACCAAAAAAAGAGTATATACACCTTGTAACAAACTCAGAGAATTGCGGTGGTGTGAAGCTAGAGTTGCTGAGGATGGATGCAGATGGATGACAGTTCTGCAGGGAACTTGTTAAGGAAAGGCACCAACCCCTCCAATTACTCTGTGTGGACCGAAATCCCCAGGCCCATTCCACTGCCAAAGTGCTCACTTTTCCAATTTAACAAAATGTTAAAACTTGGAAAGTTATTTTCAAAAAAGAACTTGCTGTGCTACTTCTTACCAAGTTACCATTATTGTTATTGTTGCTTTGATCAAACAAGTTATTTATTGCATAATACACTAATAACAAACTGCATAATCCCTAATCAGTGGGCCAGAAAAATACAGGGAAATACTCACTACTTCCCTCTAGTGGCTAATTTTGATTTTACACTTTCCAAATATTTACACACACACTTCCCAAAAAAGACCAAGAATACTTCCCCAGGTCACATAAAACTAATAAGAGAATAGTAAAAAACCTGAAAAATTCTTGTCCAAATACCTCTCAAAATGCCTTATATTGTCTTTTTAAAAATAACTAAAATTGTTACTTCTTATATCTCGAAAGTGTTACTTTATGAACCTTATGTTACATTACTTTTACTATAACATTATAACTAATTGTCACATTATTCTTTTCTCCAAAAAGTAACTACTTTACTTGTAACTAGCTGTCTTCAGGCTCTGCAGAAGATAAGTGCCAGGTCTAGGATAGGAAATGTTTACAGAAAGAATGCAGTTTATTTCTGTATATTTATCAGTCTACAGATTGCTTGCATATATTAGCCAGCATTCTGTTTGATTTGTATTAGCTTTGTATAACTTGCTGTGGCTAATTGAAACTAGTTGACGGGTGTCAAGGCACATCTCAGTCACATGGCTGATTACAGACCGAATTGCACAGACCATTGAACCTTAGCACCTCATGAATTAGCTGCTGCAAGTTAAGCAAACCTTACATAAACATCAGTTGGATTCTGACCATTATCTTAATTTTTATGACCACCTGGTAAATTGATTTTTTTTCACCGTTACCATTTTTCAGATTAAGGCCTGAAATGAGGTATCAGTTGGATTCTGGCCATTATCTTAGTAATTTTTATGACCATCTGGTAAATTGATTTTTTTCACCGTTTCCATTTTTCAGATTAAGGCCTGAAATGAGGGCCTAGTGATTAAAGAAGTGATGCCACCATATCATTCTGAATGTGCCAATTTGGCCTGGTATTGAAAACCGATCCATGTTCTGTCCATTTAATATTTGGATAGGGGACTTCTAGGGAATCCTGGGTGCTGTATGGGGCTTCAACAAGCCATAGTTCATCCATGAAGCACTTACATTGTATGCAGAAGGACTCTGTTCAATCCCAGCATCTCCAGTTAGGAGTGGTCACTCAAAGTTGATCATGCTGGGTGAAAATGCCCCAACTGACCAGGTCTAGATTAATCTTCAGTATTACCAACATCCGACACCAGCTTAGAATCAAACAGCCACCTTGCAAATTTATGATGTAAAGGAGAGATAGATTTGTGTGTTGTCAGCATAGTGGTGGTGGCACAGAATCCCAAAATTCTGGACAATGGATCCTTGTACTTTCATGTATATGTTAAAAAGCACAAGAGACAGAATAGAAGCATGAGGTCAATAGCCAAGATGCTGAACAATAGCCAAGATGTCCCCCAGCAACCACCTTTTGAGTTTGCCCTTCCAAGCAGAATTCGAGTCACCTTCAAACAGTGCCTCCAGTTCCCAAGCCAGAGATATAATCCAGATGGAAAAAAAATAAACTTGTTTGATGTTCTTGAATGCTGCTAAGAAGTCCAGAAAAACCAATGGAGACATATGTTTCCTTTGTCCAGTTCTCAGCAGAGGTCACTTGCCAAGGTAATGACAGCTGTGTCTGTCCCATATCAAGATGTAGAGCCACACTGAAATGGATCTAGATAGTCAATCTCATCTAAGAAACTTTAGAACCCAGAATCCACTATATGCTTCAGTACTTTGCTGAAAAATGTAATATTGCAGATTGGCCAGTAGATAACTAGTATGGCAGGATGCAAGGAAAACACTTGGTCTAAATATTGCCTCCCTTAGACACGCTGGTACCTTGTCTTGCTGCAGGGAGGTATTCACAATAGCTGCTACCTATTCAGCCAGTATTTCTCCAGCTACTTCTATGAGCCAGGAAAGGCAATCATCCAGTACACACATGATGGCTCTCATCTTTCCAATGATCTCATCTGCATGCTTGAGCAGTGCAAAGTGAAAAATATCCACTACAACAGAACAAGAAAGCGCCAAAGGGCATGTCTACACTGGTCCTTTTGGTTTAGTCTGGTGTGTTCTAAATAGGGACACTTGAGGTCAGGAGGACGGAAATATGCCATTTGATGTGATCCTTGTGTTCAACAGGTATATTGACCTCAAGTGACCCTCCAGCTACTTCCACTGTCAATTGAACACTTTCCATGCTCCTCTGTGGAGGGTCAACAGAAGTGAAATTTTTGCCCATGCTAGACCATCACTGGTGCACTGAATCACTTTAATTTTTTTTAAAAATTATTTGCCTTGTGTGTGGTGCCAATCGAGAAACTGCCTGCAGAGATAGTTTCGATAGGCACTTCACATAAAGACCCACCTTCCGCAAACAGGTGAAGACCTTTCTCTTCAAGCAAGCTGTTCCTTTGTGACTGCTTGCCTAAGTGGGTTTTTAATGAATAGCGGTACCACACTGCTTTGAATGTGTTTTTGGTGTTGCTTTGTTTCCTGTCTTTTAGTGTGTGGCATTTGTTTGCTCCTTTTTCATATTTGTATACTTACCATTTTTAGCTTTAAATATTGTCTTTTAGTAATGTAAACCACTTTGGGTCCTTTTACAGGAGGAAGGTGGGGTTAAAATGTTTTGAATAAATAAAAAGAAAAAATGCTTTAAATTTAAAAATCTAAGTGTCAGTGCATCAGTGATTGCCTAGAAGATGCTAAATGAATGAATGAATAAATAAATAAATAAATAAATAAATAAATAAATTTTCCCTCCCCCACTGCAGAGAATCAGGAGAAATGCTCAAATTGATCATTTCCTGAAGCAGTTCTTTATTGAGCCATTCCACAATACCAGAAATTCAAACCAGAAGATGCCTTGGCAGGTTTGACAGCCTCAAGGTTTGATTTTAATCCATTCCCAGTGACCACATGCATTGGAAAAGGAATAAACCAGAGTGCACTAACCCATACCAAAAAAATAGGAAAAGCTAAAAAAAACACCCCACCCGTAGTCTGGGGGTGCCCAGGGCAAATTAATCTGTTTGTTGTGAGGTTGCTGGGAAAAAATGTCCATCAATCCACACACACAAGCACCTAAAAGAACCAAACAGTGGGACAAATTCCTATCTGAACAAGCCCAGAGATATATTCACAGGACCTGCATCCATGTCAGAGTGGATCTGAAGGACTTTGTCTGCAACATGCTATGGAAATAGCTTTTTCACAGGAAGCTGTTTTGCATCTTTTTCTTGTGGGTGAACTTGTTGTGGGCTCTTGACCAAGACAGCTCTGTTGGACAACTGTATGTAGACGTAATGGTGGTGTGTATGTGTTATGTGCTGTTAACTCAGAACTGACTTATAGCGACCCTAAAGTTTACCACTGTACTGATCACATGAATATTCAGCAGGTATTTGCATGTACCAATGAGAGCCGTTGGGGGGTAGAGCCAGAGAAACTAGAAGGAAGGGGTGAGTCAGAGTCTAGTCAGTTCAGTCAGAGATAGAGTTTTGAAGGGGAAAAAAGAGTTTGGGGTCTCAGGCAGAGAGAGTGTTTAAGGAGTGATTAGTCAGAGTGTGACCTACATTAATTAAGATAGAAGAAGCTAAAGTAAACACTGAAGCTTTGTGTAACTTTAAGAATGTGCTTAAGAACTATTCCTAAAACAACTTGTGATCCATAACCCTGTTTCTGTTCAGTACTGAATGGACCTCAGTCTTTCATAGGAAATATAGGTTGATAAAGAGATCAACTGGTGGCAACATGTTAAAGGGCGTGTTGGGATACTCGTGTGAGCTCTGTGTTTCGTGAAACAAGCAGGGGTCAGGGGGTAAACACCACAACCGCCATCATCATTCCAATGTCATTTCACTGCTCCCGAGTAAAGCAGAGGACTAGTATGGCTCCACTCCACAATTTAGGACACTTATGAGCAATCATGTCTATAGTCCTGACCATTTCCCCATTCCAGAGCTCAATCAGAGCTTCAACATGATCACTTGTTCCAAAAACAGGAAACTCTCAAACAGCTGTCAGGAAAACACGTGGGTACCTAATCTTCTTAGGCTAGGCCATCTTAGTCATTCCTCTATCCTTGAATTCCAATGAGTATAACCTCCACAAGGTATTGACAATAGAACTATAGATAGTTTCTCCACATGGATATTACTCTCATCCTGCCCTGCTCAGAAATCCAGGTCCAGAATTTGACCTGCAACATGGATGGAGCCAGATACTGCTTTGGAGTTATCAAGGAAGACATGAGATCCAGAGCTACTCCTGAGAACTTGGCCTCAAGCATGGGTGTTGACATTCCCCAGCACGACAAGCCAAAGAACTCCAGCTCCATTCAAAACTATGTTGGTTAGCTCAGGAAGAGAAGCAGGCTAGGCAGTACACCTGGAGAAGCCCTATACAGCATTGTGCCAGGTGCCCACTTTCAAGTAGATACATTGAGACTTAGCAGACCATGGCACCTGGTGCGAGAGGTGGAAACTCTTTATTTAGTTTTCAGGGGAAAGATAGGAACCAATGAATCTGCAGGTGAGGTTCTTAATACCTAACTCAAGAGTGGGCAACACACACCCTAGATTTCATCAGACATTCGTTAGGGTTATAACCTTGGAAACTAGCATAGACAGTGGAGCTCCAGAAAAGTCTTTGGTTCTTAATGAAACCAGAATTTGTCAGGATGCTAGATTTTCTACATTTTAGCTAAATACTGTGTTTCTTGTGGGAGTGAGAGAAAACACTTGTCATGACCTTATCTGCATTTCCTGTTGCTCTTGTTGTCAGTGTTGTTCTTATTGTTGTTGTTGTGGAGGTTGCACCTGCTGCTGCTCCTTCTCCTCCTATGGTATTATTTATATGCCTGCCAGAACTTATACCTGCAGGGGAAGCTTTAGGATAAATCATTTGTCTATGAATGGGTGATGGCAATTTATTCTGCCATTCCTGATGGGAGCAAAGTACAACATTTTGCTATGAATGAACGAAAAGACAAATAATTTCTGCACACTAGTTTCCATGGGAGATTGGATCTCACTCTTACCACTGCAAAGCATGAGACTTAACAACTCTAATGCAATTGCTGCTTAATGACCCTCTGCAAAGCACTTTTCATCTCACTGTTTCTGAAGCTATAGATGAAGGGGTTCAGCATAGGAGTTACCATAGTGTACATTACAGCTGCCGCAGTGTCCTTGTGGTCTGGGTTCTTTGTCTGGGGCTTGAAATAGATCCAGCTTACACAGCCATAGAACAAGACCACCATAGAAATGTGGGACCCACAGGTGGAGAAAGCCTTGCGCTTCCCAGAGGCAGAGGGAATCTTCATGATGGTGTAGAAGATATAGATGTAGGAGATGACGATCAGCACAAAAGGAGCCAAGATCTCTACCACCCCCTCGGTGACTATCAGCATTTCTATGACCCTCGTATCTGAGCAGGCAATGTCCAAGAAAGGAATAACGTCACAGAAAAAATGTGGAATCTCCCTTGCACCGCAGAAGGAAAGGCGGGACAACAACACAGTATAAAGCAATGAATGGGCAATGGGAATCCCCCAAGACACTGCTGCCAGTTGGAGGCAACGTCGGTGGTTCATCAGGGTAGAATAGTGCAATGGCTGGCAGATGGCCACGTAGCGGTCCCAGGCCATGGAAGCCAACAAGAAGCTGTCTGAGTTGCCGAACGATATATAGGAGTACATCTGGACCAAGCATCCCCAATAGGAGATGGTCTTGTCCTGAGACAACAAGTTCTTCAGTGTTTTGGGGGTGATGGCAGAGGTGAAACCCACATCGGTTAGCGCAAGGTGGAAGAGGAAGAAATACATGGGTGCCTGGAGGAGCTGTGCACTGGAGCAGATCAACAAGATGATTGTGATGTTCCCCAGCAGAGTCAGCAAGTACATTGAGAGCAACAGAGGGGGAAGAAGTCCTTGGAACTCCAGCTGGCCTGGAAAGCCACGGAGAAAAAAACCAGCAGCATCGGTTGTGTTTCTATGATTCATTCAGCTGGAGGGTTGAGAGTAACAAGAGAATGGAAACGTGCTGGTCAACATTTTTGCCTCATGAATTGGAGTGATTAATTAATTCCACCTATCTACACAAACAGTGGACAATGGAAAAATGCCTTTCTTTTTCCTCAGCTCCCATTCTGTCTGGTCTGTCACTTCAGCTGCCACACCTTCCTTCTTTGACCACCGTCCCCTCTGCCCACATCTCCATCTCATGCCTTTTCTCCCTCTTGCCCTCCATGTGCAGCCTCTGCGCACTTTTCTACTATACCCTGACAAAATCTCTCCGACTGCTATGTATCTGAAGCAGAGAGCCTGCTGGCCCCATGGAAGCTCTCCATGATAAAAAGAACTCCAGTTTCTACCCATTCTGGCTTTTGTGAAGAGGTTCCATAGAGTCAACAAGGCTTTTTTCCCCCAGACACTCTGCCTATTTATAAGAAGCTGGTGCTGGATGGCATGAGACTAATGTTCTTCCCTCTTCCTGTGCATGGTAATGGATATCTTCAAATCCTGAATAGGGTTCCTTTTATGCCCAAACCAGAGAGAGAGCGAGAGAGAGAGAGATTGAGAGAGAGAGAGAGACAACACATATATTTAAAGGAAATTGGTTAACTAAGTGTGAATCTTTATGCAAACAAAACATCACTACACACATACAAAAGGGATGTTCCAGTGGTTGGATGGAATCCCTTGGTCTGAAGAATTTATTTAGAACATTTTTACCCTGCCTCTATCCTCAAAAAAGACACAAGGCAAGCAAAGATGGGGTTGGGCTGGCCTCCTGTGTGGGGGAGGTCCAAAGTCTGGGAGCAGTAAGAGAGAAAGCCCTCTCCTGTACCCCCATCAGGCACACCTGTGAAGGTGGGTGGGACCAAGAGAAAGGCCTCCCCTGACGATCTTAACACCTGAGCAGGCTGATCATGGGAGGCAGCGTCTTTGAGAGAACCGGGGGGACAGGGGGAAGCGACTCAGATGGGAAATCAGAAAAGAGCTGATGAGGATGAAGGATGCCTAGTGAGCATAGAAAACCGGGGTTGTTGTAGGCTGTGGAGAAATGGAAAGATGTTAACACAACAATAGAGTTGAGTTAATGGGGAATAAACCTGAGAAGGCCCTTCTCATTCTGTTAGAGAAAGAACATTACATGGGATCCTAAGAGGAAGAACCGAGGGACCAGGTTTGGAGCCCACTGGGCACAAGATACAGATCTATTTATCAGAGACCTGGAGCTCCTTTTCCCTCGGCTTGTCTGCCACACTGCCAATTTCTCTTAGTAAATGGTGACCTCTCCCCACTCCTACGAAAGTCACTGGCTTCTAAAATGAGAATTAAGGACAGACCAGATCCATGTGGACAAAGAGGGAAGGTGGCTGGGCTTTCTCCTGAACTGGGACTGGGACTGGAAAGAACTGATGATCAGGCCAGGGCTCGCCCTTCCTGTATACTGTGACCACTGGGATGGACAGAGGAAGGACTGGGAGAGGAGAAAGAGATGAGGAAAGGGGGAAATCTATGATTCCCTTGTAAAATGAAATAATTTGGGCAGAAAGTCTATCTACCTCGCCTAGCTATACCGTTCTGATTGCCTCACTGTCTGCGACGAATTTTCATTAATACCCACCAGCACTTTCTTTCAGCAGTAGGGTGAAAATCTTCTTCTTGATATAGGGATTGATGTAGGACTGGGATGTGTCACAGATGGTCTGGTCCCTGTGTCGTTCTCTATGCTACATGGTTTATCATCACTGACAGGTAGCTATTTTAGACTGGACAGCTGTAACTAAGCAGAGGACAACTGTATATATGTATACACCAGTGTTTGCTAGCAGTGCCTCCCTATATTCTACGTTGAAGCCATCAGCTACACGCTATAGAAAATAAATAACAGGCAAAAGTCAATCACCCAAATTCACCATAATAAAGGAACAGAAAAATTTGTCTCTCAGAACCCTCAGCATTCAATCTTTAGGTGTCCTTTTTTTGGACAACAACAACAATAGCCTTGAATATATGGTGCACTACAGGAAGGAACAGGCTGTCATGTGGTGCAACTTTCTCTCCTGTAGCCTGAAGAAAAAAGCAGAGTGTTTTATTTTAATCCCACTACAATGTTGAACAAGGCTGACAAAGCAATGATTCCATGTTATCACTTGATAATTGTTCCATGCATGGATACTCTTAATAAAATAATTATAGGGCAATCGTTGCTTTAAATACTTCCTACATCTTCTTTCTCTCTTGAGTCTCCCTCATTGTTTATCACTCCATTTCATGTAATCTAGTAAAAAACTTTGCTGTAATAAACTTGTTAGTCCTTAAAGCAGGAGTGGGCAACACAGAGACCACAAGCTGCAGGGACCCTCTCCAGCCAATTTGCACCCCAATAGGCACCACTGATAGAAGCACAAGTTAGAAATTTGGTGGCACCACAAAAAAGCCAAGCCAGCCCCTTGGCTTGCTTCTTTCCCCCTCCAACCAAAAAGGAGACATTCTAGCTTGCCATTCTGAGAGGCTCTGTGTTATGACAGCATGCTCCGGCAGCACCGATACCACAGGGAACCACCAGACCTGCTGTAGCAGTGCTGGGAAGCTCTGTGGCGGCTGACAACTCTTTGGAGCATCCATTGAATTTTGGTGTTAAGACATCCCTGGTGGGTGATGGGTGAGTGAGTGAGTGAGTGAGTGGGTAGGTGGGGGTCTATATGTGCCCTCCAATTTTGATGATTGTCCATCCAGGCTTTAAGGTGCTTCAACAGATCAATACAGGCACCCCCTCAGAAAATTACTTACAGAAGCGATGTATGCTGATCCACAGACACTTTCTCTATGCTGCAGCAGCAGTAGCAAAAAAACTTTCTGAGTTACATTGCCATTGTCAGTGTGAAGTACTAGAGGACCCTGTTCCACCTAGAAAGCTAAAACTTCTTTTCTCGGTGTGAATCTGCTCTTTATCTTCTGTACACAACTTCTGTTCAAGTTTCCTCTTTGATCTTGAGTGCTCTGAGCACCACAGCATAAGTAAGACTCATCCAACCAGGCAGACTTGTCAGAGGAATATATTCAGCAGCATAAACTCTGGGGAAATCATCATTTTGAGACCTAAGGCGTAGGACATCGCTAATTAATCTGTCCTCATTAGTCAGCTATAGAAAAATATTTTCTAGTGAGCTCCATAACAGGGGACTAGCAGAACCAGAGAGAGGGACCTGAATAGGGTAACACTGTGCCCTTCCTGTTTGCAGAACTTTGACTTTATAATTATATTCTGTAGCTGCAGAACGGAAGTGCAGGGATCCACAGAGCAGAATAGCTTCAAGTTCCCCAGAGAAGTCCACCTCTTTTCTCAACAAGTGGCACTTAGACTCTCAATAACTCACTTTGAGAGAAGAGTGGGAGAAAGAATAAAAAGTTCATTAGTTATTATTTAACAGATCAAATGGCAAGTTGACAAACATGACTGGTTTAAGCAAAGTAGACTTCAACAGACTCATTGCCTTCCTCCAACAGACTGAGGAGAGGGCATGAGCATGAGCAGAGAAGCAGGACTTTGAATTCACAGGCAGGAAGGAACAACTGGATAGTGCTGGATAGGCTGACAATCATCCCAGCCCAAAATGGCCACTCTAAACCAAACCTACTAAAGGCAGCATGAAAGGTTGCAGTAGCTCCAACACTTCCTTTCCTTTCCTTTGGGAAGACAGTCCACAGTTTTGCATGGTTTATGGCTCATTCCACATCCTCAGGATCTCATGGTGGTAACTGGAATTAAGAAAGACTTTCTTCCCTTCCCTCTCCCTCCCTCTTACTCACACTCTTATCACATATGCATACATCCATGGTTTCTCTGTCTCCCACACATCTATACCTTGTATCTCCACCCTCACTCTCTCAAACATTTTCCCTTTTGCATGGACAGGCATACATGCATACACAGATAGATACGCATCCTCTCACTTTCATTCACACTCATGCCCACAGACCCAGTCTCTCATGCACACACTCATAAATTTTCTCTGTGTCTAACTCCCAAGTTGGCTGGATAGCTCAGTGATATGGAGCCAGAGGTTGGGAGTTTGATTCCCCCCGCTGTGCCTCCTGGTAGAAGAGCCAGCCCATGTGGCCTTGGCCAAGCTGCACAATCCCGGGACGCCCCCAGAGGAAGGGAATGATAAAACACTTTATTTGTTCTCCACCTCAAAAACCCTGGAAAGCATCACCATGTCAAAATCAGCACACAACACACCCACATCTCCCACATACACACACACCTTCTCCATGTTTATCTTCCCACCCCACCACTCTCTCCACCTATGCCTGGACGCAGGCAGCAATTCGTGGGGATTTGGTGAGTCACGTCCTCTGTTCCGTTCCATTGATTCAAATGGACCCACTCAACTTCTGACTGACTTGATCACGGTAAGTGGCAACTAGACTAGCCCTGTTTGCATCAATGGTACTTTTGGAAGAGTTGACTTAACAAATCAAGGGGCCCACTTCTAAGCTCTTAATGGTTTTCTGCATTAAACAACAGTATTTCAGCCACAATCCTTATAACCTAGCTAGGCAAGGTTATAACCATAGGCAAGGGAATGGTACTGAAATTAAAGGAGGAAAGACTATGCCCTTTAGTTAATTCTAATTATTCCTGAATATATTAGGAGACAGGGAATTAATTTTCTCACTGTATATCATTTGCTCCTGCAGCAGGAACCCCAGTCCCAGGCTATGAAGAAGTCAGTATAGTCAGGCTTTTCCTAGGCTGATTTGGGCACAAGGCCATTTTCAGCTTCTAGTCGAGTTGAGTCGTTTAGTCGGGCCCACCCTAGTCCTCCTGCACTGCTCATTTTTTAAGAGGATGGTAACTTGAAAATGTAACACTAAATATTGATACTACATAATGAACCAGTCTTTGAAATAAGGAACAGATGTCAAGAAAATTTCCTATGTACACCTTTTGACTTCTACATAAAAATCGACGTATTATTAAATGCACAGCTTTGCTACGGACAGAAAGTGGAAAACATGGACGTATGCGAACGCCATGCATGGCTTTTAAGAATACAGTCCCTACAGACTTGTGTACAAGACAGGATTGGACCACTGGGTTTTGCTCAGAGCGTTATTTTTCAAAAGAGCCCATTCCCAAACTAATTTTTCTGAGGCAGCCAAGTTATTCTTAAACATTACCATTGTCAGTGCTCAAAAACATGACTCTTTTGGGGGGCTGTGATTACCTGAATTCCCCAATAAGCATGGCCTGCCAAGATGGCAAAAGGATGCTGGGAGTTGTCATTCAGAGAATTTTTTTTTCTTGACTCTGATTGCTATTCTACGTATTTACTAAGCAATTTACCTGTTATTTTACCCACGAAACAATCAAACAAAAAGGGACGATACCCTCCACTTCCCTGTAGTGACTAGTCCTGATATTCTGGAATTACAGAATATGGAACAAGAGAAGATATCTGCACTGACTTCAGAGGAAAGTTGCTAAACATACCACATTGGGGGCATTTCTCCCTCTTTTGACCGATGGCAGGATGCAGCAAGGTACCCCAAACCACCAGAAGGCGGGCCAACTTCCTCAACAGATCATGTAGCTTTGCTCCTGCAATAGTGGAGTTAGAACAGGTGGATAAGAAGGAAGTGCCATAGAAGGAGATTGAAAGTTGTCCTCTTGTTAGTACAGCCAGTCTCTGTAGTCATGGGCAAGTTGCGCAGTCCCAAGGTGGCCCCAGAAAAAGGCAATGGTAAGCTACCCCTGACTGCTATCTATCTGCAAAACTCTAAAAAGGGTCACCATAAGTCAGAATTGACTTGACGGAACATGATGATTTGCAACTGGAACCCAGATCGATCTGCTTGTTAACAGGGAACAAGGTGATTGGATGGGTGGCGCATGTAGTTCAAGCTCCTGTCCTGGAGATGAAGGGCTGGAGTGTGAGAAGAGCAATGCAACTAGAAAAAAAGAGGGTTGTTTTTCGGGTTCTTGTAACTGAAGAAGCTTAGATCTCTTCCCAAGTTGATGTTCCTATGTAATAAAAAATGATATCGTTTTCATTCTTTAGCCACTGCGCTTAGTGCGGTAAATGGCTGGTTTGAAAATACGTTCATGGAAAGTTATTTTAAAAGGTGACAAGCCTAGATTGGGGCTGATCTCATCATCATCATCATCATCATCATCATCATCATCATCATCATCAT